CACCTCCCACCTTATTGTGCACGAGCCTTTAATTTTTGTCACTTTGGAAATGACAAACCTGTCTCCTCATTTTACAGAAACAAGTGACTGTAACCACATATCACAATCATTAACTTTCGTGACAGCCAGATTTGGCTAAGTGCTAGTTTTAACTACTTCGGCACAAAGCTTACCTGTCAACCCATTTGTTGTTTGAAGAATTCGGGTTTATTACAATACAGTGACAGCTTTCCTTCTCTCCTTTTTATGCAGATTAGCAGGGAAGCATTACACCTTCATGAAATCCACCTTACTTACACCAAATGGATTTTTCTGCAGCCCAGTGCAAATCTTAAATCTCCCTGAAGCATGAACACCCCAAGTACTGGAAGCCTGCGCTGACAAGCAACACCACGGGGAAAAAAAAAAAAAACACCAAAACCAAACCAAAACCTGCATAAAGAGCAAAGGGGAGAGATCAAGGCAAAGTCACACAGGGTGTACAAGCTGAAGAGGTGAAATCCAGACGGCGTGGACCGGGGCCAGCTAGTCAAGGTGTCACAGACACACAAACAAGCAGCCACCTCCTTTTCCAACGGAAGGGGCCAGAAAGAATTCTCAACAAGTTTAAGCGAAGCAGGAATGTGGTTGTGTCATCACCCTTTTAGCACTATGTGTACCCTTTCTTTTCCTAATGACTCATTTATGCAGATAAATGCCTAAAAGGAGTTCTTCCTGGCCCCAAACACTAGAAATCCTTGTATTTATCCACAAATCACGTTCTCAGGTGAGCAGCAGCTATATAATCTAACTTTATTTCCTTGTACGGCCAAATCTGGATGGCAGAGCCATATCCATGGTTCAGGCTGGGGACAAGGAGAGTTTTGTGGGTTTTTTTTTTTAAAAAAACCTCTAGCATCTTTCCCAACATTTCACAGAAACTTCTCAGAGTAGGACTTTCTTAACAGAGCATTTATACACTTCACAAAACCCCAAGATGCTGAAAGAAAATGGCAGAAAGTGTCCTGCAGAGTCCAACTCCATGTAAATATCTGTCTCCAAGATGGGACCAAATTCCCCCTTAACCCACCAGTTATTCCCAAACCCACTAGTGATTTCTAGGGCCCTTGGGTCTCCACAGGACATGACATCTTCATGCTTCCAAAAGACTTCACTCTGGCAGGTACCCACCCTAATTGCAGTTTTTCCATAAAGCACTCTTGGTAATATCTAAACACAAAATGCCACATCAGCTGCCATCTGTAGCTAGATCTCCTTCAATATCTGTATTTCCACTAAAACAGCTCTCGCTACAATTACTACGTTCAGTTGTACTTTTGAATATAGAACATTACACACCACAAATGTTTATAATGTTATCACAGATGAGCTGCAAAGCATCCCTTTATTAGAAAGCACCTCTTAATGCTCCGAGAAAACTGCCTTTATTCAGTCTTCTTGAGGAAAGCAAGCAAACAAGTGTTGTGGTCAAATCACCTCAAAACAATATAGCAGAGCTCAAAGGCAAAAAAGAACACCAAAATAAGTGATGTAGAACAGCCTCCACAGACAGATGTACCAAATAGACTGGGACAATACAGACTTGGAAAAGAAAAGAAACTCCAAGAGAGAAAACTGGGAACAGAGAGATCTATAAAATTGCAAATGAGGTGGTGACTGGAAAAAGATTCTTTATTCTCTCTCATACTACAAAAACCAGGAGGCACTCAATGAGATTACCATTCACCGGGCTTAAAACAAAACAAAAAAAAACCCAAACCAAACCCAAGCCCCAGGAATTATTTTTTGAAAGTTTGGGATGCCTTGCATGGTGAAAAATCGACAGGTATAAGCTGTCCAAAAAGGCTGAGGCGAATCCACATAGGACAAGTCCAAGAGGGCCTATAAAGCATGATTTTCAGCACATCCCCTCGAGCTGGGGCCACCTCGAAACCCTTCTATTGATGCTCTTCCACTTCTCCCCTAACGAATTACTTCTGGCCACTGTCACACGCTGAGCCCAACACACTTTTTGCAGCCCTTATTATCCCATCCTTCACGTCAAATAATTATTCCCCCAGCTGTAAATTGGAATACATTAAGACCACACGCTATCTACAAATAACGCACAGTTTAAGTCACTTCCTTAACTTGATTAAAGGACTTAAAATGAAATGCTGAGCGGTTACAATTCCTCTCTTCCCATCCATAGGTTCAAATGCCATTTTAATCAGGTTTGCAGTTTGTTCCCTACCACCACCATTTAGGCACCTTTTACAAAACAGCACTAGCCATTTGTTTTCAGCCAGCGAAACCATTAGAAGAATCAATTTGATCTCCAAGGCAAGTTAAGAGTAATGGACTCCTATGTTTACTTAGCAATAAGTACACAACGATTTAATTAGATCTATATGCTGTAAACTGCATCTTTCGAGGCAGCAATCACAAAGGGAGCCAGGCGTTTCAATTTCTTACGTAAATCAATGTTTTCAGTACTTTTTCTTTTTTTTCTGCTTATAACTGCTGAAACACTAACCACCAACTTCCACGTTGAAACAGTTAGAGGTTCATTTCCCCCTCAGTTTTGTTCCTGCAAACCTACACACCACTTTTTCCAAGCAGCAAGCAATTTAAGTTGCTGCCCCTTCTCAGGCACGAGGCGGTTCCACGACTGATGTCATATTTCAAGCGACAGACTGCGCCCTGCAAGCGTAGCATTTCGTTTAGAAGTCAGCACTTGACACGTTGAAGTAGTTGGAATTCCTGAAGTCTGGCTGTCTGCACGGTTGCATAATTTGAGGAAGGGATAACCTACTTAGAACCGGGCGAGAGAGAAGAATGTCAACAGACCATCCCCTCTACGTCAAGGGACATCTCCTTCCTCGTCACGTGCCAGCGAGAGCATCACCGCTCGGTCGCAGAGTGACTTTCTTGTTTAAACTACTGGATTACAACAACCTAAAAGGAGGGAAGTTACACGATCCTCTTGCAGAAATACACTCCAAACGCTCTCAAAACCCTTGGAAAAAGAAGTTTTACCAGATGTAACAGCCAACGCCAGCGAAATGAAGCAACTAATGCCAAGTATCCAAGAGCTTCTCCTCGTCAGCGACAAGCCACACCAACACCGGTCACCTCATAGCACAGGCAACACACTCCCATTCACAAGAAGGACATAAAAAAACACAAGCCTCCTTCCAACAAGTCATGGGATACAACCAAAAATAACGCCGGGAGCTCACTCAGCTTCACACAGGGAGGGGGAAGCTCTATTTGCTTTTGATCCTCTTCGCAAACAGCTGACCGGACCCCTCCGAACAGCACACAATTTATTTGCTACAGACACCACAGAACGAAACCACCCCTTTCAGAAGTTGCCAGAGTTTATGATTAACCTCCTGTTGCAACAAACATGGCAAGGATTCAGTTTCACTTGCTGACTACTTCTCTTACGTATTACAGAAGAAATACATAAGGACACTCCCCCCCACCCCCCGTCTCTCTCTCTCTCTCCAAACCTCAGGGTCACAGGAGGAGGAATTCTTTCAGCTTGTAAACAAAACCAGGGCGAAACCTTCTGTGTGGGAAAGCCAAGTGTGATCCTCCCTCCTGACAACTCAGCGTCCGCGCAACATCCACCTGGGGAGCCCAAAAGTAGGGCTGGAAATTCCCTTCCCCTGGAAAGGGACCGCTCGGAGTGTTCGCACCAATTAAAGTTTCGGATTAAAACCAGCTGTTTAAATACAAGTAGTCCCCAGGGAGAGACACTTACAGCATTGTAACTGGTGTCTGGTATAAACAGTTTGACATCAATGGAGGCATTTATACTGGTAGAGCTGTGTCTAAGCTAGCAGGTTAACACTTGTCCACCTCTGTCTCCTTAAATAGGCACACTTAAACCCAGGCAAGGTCTCCTCCAGGTGCATCACACCTTGGATCTGCGTTGCACAAAGACGTCAAGCATCAGTAAGAGGCCTTGACAGCAGAGGAAAAGCACATCAACTCAGGAAGACAACCAGGTGACCCCCAACTAAGTAAAAGCTAAGTGTACTAGGCACCCTGAGGATAAATAAAATAATTTTTTTTTTAAAAAAAGGGAAAAGGAAAAGCCTTGTGTCAGGCAGAAGCACAGAGAGAAAGCAGGGACAAACGTGTAAGCGGGAAACCTGAGAAATTCCCCACGTGGGTTTGGCAAACCAAGGACCTCACGTGAGGAAAATTAGGAGAGCAGGAGACTTCTAGAAACTTCAGAACAGATCCTAGGCTGGATAATTTATATCTATGACCAGAAAAGAGAACCTGAATGTATTTTAGACCTGTGGTTTCCAACCTGGGACCTGCAGATACCTACGAAGTACGTGGAGTGCTGGGAGGTATGGTTTAGTGATGATGCTCCTTGTTTGTTGTGTGGGTGTCTATTTTTGTCAGTTAGGTTGACGGTTGGACAAGATGATCTTTAAGGTCCCTTCCAACCTAGAAGATTCTGTGATTCTGTGACTACTTCTTTTTACTCTGTCAGGTTGCTCAGCAAAGAAAAAAAACAAAAGTCGAAGTAAAAAGAAAAGCCAGGCTTAACCTGGCCGTATGGTGCTGCAGTATCAGCAGGGCACATGAAGAAAAAGGGTTGAAAGACTGAAGTCATGAAAGATGTAACAGGCAGCCAAGAAGAGATAAGAAATGGGTAAGAACGGGTGACCTCTCTGGCACGTGTAGCAAGGAAGTACTACGGTGTGGGGGCAGGCACCGCAACAGCTGCCGCTGGGTGTCTGCGCAAACACGTAAGACATGAAAGGACAAACAGTGGAAACCTTCTCCCCTGGAAGCCTGGAGGAGAAACGCCTGCCCGCTTGCCCAAGGCTAGTGGTGAAATGCTGCCTGCACCCTTCCCGAGGTGTGCAAACACACACAGTGCGGGATGCACCCCCCAGCTTTCAGTAGGTGCTTGGTGGGATAACCCCTGGTGTGTCTACATACATATCTCTCTATATATAATGTATAGTTTGAGACAGACCCTCTCTCACCAGCGGGCAGAACACGCTCCGCAGCACAAACAGGAGATGGGTTGGAGCCATCGGCCCTTAGGCTTTGGTGGAAAATAACTGCGTGCCTATTTGGGTGGAAAAAAAACAAAAACAACAAAAAAAACCCAACTCAGCAGCTTTTGGTAGGTAGGAAGAAGCCTCCCGGGGTGTATGTATCTAACAGGCTGTGGTGGTCAAGCATGGAGGCATTCCCCAGCACACCTGTGTGTGGAAAGAAGTACAGCAGATTTTGGAAGGCCGTGGTACCTTCACCCTGCGTGTAGGAAAGGAGGCAATAGGCTTTTGGCAAGCAAGAAGCAGACTATACCCCCCTATCCCCCTCTCCCCCCCCCCAGCATCTGCCAATGTTTACGTTTGTATATAGGAAAATAAACCCAAATAGATGGAAGGAGAGCAGAGAAACACGCAACAGATCTTGGCAGATGAGCAC